ACAGATGCTGGAAAGGATGTGGAGAAATAGGAACAACTTTAGGCTGTTGGTGGGAGTGTAAATTAGTTCAACCATTGTGGAAGACAGTGTGGTGATTCCTCAAGGATCTGGAACCAGCAATCCCATTACTGGGTATATACCCAAAGGATTATAAATCATTCTACCATAAAGACACATGCACGCGTATGTTTATTGCAGCACCGTTCACAATAGCAAATACTTGGAACCAACCCAAATGCCCATCAGAGTGGATAAAGCAGTGTGGCACATAAACACCATGGAATACTATGCAGCCATAAAAAAGGATGAGTTCACATCCTTTGCAGGGACACTGATGAAACTTGAAACCATCATTCTCAGCAAATTTAACACAGGAACAGAAAACCAAACAGCACATGTTCTCACTCATAAGTGGGAGTTGAACGATGAGAACACACAGACACAGGGAGGGGAACATTACACACCAGGACATGTCAAGAGGTGGAGGACTAGGGGAGAGATAGCATTAGGAGAAATTCCTAATGTAGACGATGGGTTAATGGGTGCAAAAAACCACCATGGCACGTGTATACTTACGTAACAAACCTGCACATTCTGCACATGTATCCCAGAACTTAAAGTGTAATTAAAGAAAGAATATAAATATAAAAAATGTACAATTATTACACATCAATTATAAATCAAATACAACTAAAAAGAGTGAAGATTTACATGCACTGATGTAGATAGTACTTCAAAATATATGAAATGAAATATGAAAAGTATAAAATAGTAGTTATCATGTTTAAAGACATATACATAGATATGTTTTCATATAAAATGTCAAATTTCAAGTGAAGTTTTAAATTATTTTGTACTTTTCAAAATATCTTCCAAATTTCCTATAGTGAACACATTTTATAATCAGAAGATGTAATAAAACAATATGATAGCTTTTAGTGAAGCACAATGCAAAGAAAATATGGTTAATCATCTTCAAACTAAGGTGATTAAGCATAATAATTTAAAAATGACAAATATAATTGAGTAAAAGGTGAATGAAAAATCACTTGCAAACAGTAACTTTTAATGACACTACTATGGGAAGCAATAGTCTAAGTATTAATTTTTTTTCTTTATAAATTTGTGTCATGCAAAATTCAAAACTATAAATAATCTAGGAGAATTTATGTCAATGGGTTTCTGAAAATTCTTAGCTCTATGTTGCTTTATTCAAGAGGTATTTTGTAATGTACCATTGCATAACAAATAAGTCTATTTGTATAGCAAAATAATGCACGTACACCTGGTACAAGATGACTTAAACCCTTCCTACTTCTGAGCTGGAGGCGAACATACACTTGGATTCATTCTTCAAGTGTATTTTTCCTCAAGTAAATATTAGCTTTACTGAAAATTTCTGATAATTTTTACTGTTGCTCTCTAATAGCTATATGATACAAATACATCATGAGGACTAAACTACATAGCAATAAATAAAGATTTCCTAGAGAATTTGCTGTGTTCTTCATCTCAAAGAAAGGTATACTTCTAAATACTATGTCTTTTAATACGAAAACATTTCACTTTTGACATTTTGAAAATATAATCTACAAAAAACACAAAATGTAAAATTTTAAGTAATGCATAATTGTTTTGAAATATTATACTGCAGGTTATATACTCTGCTTCTTCAAATCATGTTGTTTTCTGAGTTCAGATGTTCAAAGTATTTTCCAGATCTCGAAAACTCAGTTTTTCTGTCTTATAAATAGTTGGATCAAGATCTGTCAGCCTTTCAGTTTGCTGCCATCCTAGGTTCCAACAGACTCTTCTGTTTAGTGTAAATCTCTTTGCTGAATTAGAAAAGAATGTAACTTAAATTCCAGCAATCACAAAGTTACAAATGAACCTGACTTATTTTCTTCATGGGTTCCACCTTCAGGCACTGTGTTTCAAGAGAACTAAAGGAAATAAAGCACTGAAGGAAATAAAGAGTCTTTGGGAACTTCTTCAGTTTGGGTTGGAGTGTCCGATTTAGTATGTGATTACCTTACTTTTAGAGGGATGTTTTTTATTTTCCTGTGATCTATGTGACATTCTTTACAGACCTCATTTTCTGAATATTCAAAGAGGAAGGGATCAGGAAATCTCATTTTAACATCAGCTCCTATCTTCTTCAACACCTTAATTTTGAAATATTTTGTTAAAATAAGATATAAATTATAACTTCAAAAAGTCAGCACTTGCTCAGTTCTTTAAGGAGTTTCTTCCTAAATCATTTTTCTCCTTTCCCATCTTTGCCCCTCCTTTTGTTTCTCAGCTTTACCAGTTACCTTAGAATCCAGATTCTCCTTATTCAAAACCTTATCACTTTCAGGACATTCACTTTGTAATCTATAGGCGTAATCCCACATCTTCATACATGTGTTGGTGGGCTCAAACACCTCATAAAGTGAAGATATATACCTTTTCCCAGAGCCTGCAATTCCTGATAAAAAAAAAATTAGCTTCTATCTTATTACATCACCCTGAAGCTTTTTAACGGCAGATGAACTGGCATTGCCAGATAGTGTGGCACCTCCAGGCTTGGAGCACTCCAGGCTGCAGAACGTGACGTTTGCATCCTTTGACCGTGTTGTCACTTTCTTCACTCACAGCTCAGGTTCCTTCCATTACCTTTTCAGTAGTCTCTGCTGCTGCTGCTTAGAGATGTCTCTTGTTATCTGAGTCTGCCACATTAAACAAAAAAGACCCAACATTTAGAATGACTAGGTGGATGCTCAGAGCCCAACTCAGGAGGGAAATGAGCTCATTAACAAGGAGGTGGTCTGGACTGCAAAGGAAGATAAAGAGGGGGTGGAGGAGCAGTCTGGAGGAGGAGGTGACCTTTTCCTTGGGCTGGGGGCAGCTGGCCTCGGCTTTGAGTTACAGCAACAAGAAACAGCAAACCATAAGGAAGGTGCAGAAGATGACTCATTGAACACTTCTCACTATCTTCTCTTCCCCTTAGCTTAGTTCCCAGCGGGCTGCTCCTTCTAACATCATTCATTGTCTGAGCCAGTGTGATGGGCAAACATGCAGCCCAATACGTGTGCCAGCCCACGAGTTTTCTGGCTCTACCCATCTTCCTTAACATGCAGAGGTGGCTGAAGCATCTACTACTGGCTGATTGCATTTCCGGTGTCCCATTTTACTGATGCATAAATCTTTGGCTCTCTGAAATCCTGCCCCGTCCCTAGATCTAACTTTAAAGTTAAAAAGAGCAGTAATGAAACCTTATCAAGAGATAAACTGGGAAAAAATACACTAATCCACAAAAGAGCATATCTTAGTATAGTGTGCTTCTGAGTGATTTTTATCTTCTGCATTTCTGCTTCTATTTTGCAAATATTCTATAGTAACATGTGTTCCTTTAATATGGAGAACACAGAAAGGGAAGGTGTTAAATACTTTGCTAAGAGTTCTAAGATGCAAAACGTATATTGCATCCTATGCAGAAGTTTTAAGGGCTCTTCTCTTTGTGATGTCTGGCAAGTACAGTTTTTATCCAATTTGGGTACCTATGCATCAGGAGCCAGGTACACTATATGTTACATTCTTTATTTTAGTTTTGGCATATAAGTGAATCTGCCATATCCATTCTTCACGGATGCAAAAATCTCAAAAATAAAATAGGCACTGTAAAAAAAAAAAAAATGCAGTGGGCTAGACGCAGTGGCTCATGCCTGTAATCCCAGTACTTTGGGAGGCTGAGGTGGGCAGATCACCTGAAGTCGGGAGTTCAAGACCAGCCTGACCAACGCGGAGGTACTCCGTCTCTACTAAAAATACAAAATTAGCTGGGTGTGGTGGCACATGCCTGTAATCCCAGTTACTTGGGAGGCTGAGGCAGGAGAATCACTTGAACCCAGGAGGCGGAGGTTGCACTCCACCCTGGGCAATAAGAGTGAAACTCTGTCTCAAAACAAACAAACAAACAAAACAAAAACGAAACAAAACAAAACAAAAAACGCTGTGGTATTGCTAGAAACAATAATTTGCTTCCTCATGTTGTGGAAAATCATAAAGTAAACCTAACTATCTGAACACATGTGGTTGGTTAAATATGACATCGGTTTTAATATTTTTACATTATAGAAATTGGGGAGTGACTATTGTTAAGCAGAATAAAAGATGCTAAACTATATATGGTGGGGTATGGAAGACTATTATAGATCATTTTATGCCTAGAGAGCCAGAAATTCTAAAATCCTGTCTTACTTTGGCTACAGTTTCCTATGAGGTTTTCAAGGAAAACATATGTGGACCCAGAAATGACAAATGTGAAATAAGACACCACTTTATTATATGTTGTGCTTTTCCCTTTATGTCCAGTGCAAACTCCCTGGTAAACTGAGTTTAAGTGTGAGGGAACCTCCTCACACACTTATCTCAAAGCAAAATCTTAGGATCTCTCTGTGACCAGCTGCATGGTGAAGAGATGAAAGCCTGGTGTCACCTGTAAGAAAAAATGAGTCAAGGTAGTGTGACCTTCCATAGCTTGTCTTACATATAAAGTGGCGTTGTGAGTGAGGTACTCCTGCTCTCCTTCCCCTCTTCTCTCCAGTTCCCTTTGCCCCCTCCATTCCTTCTGCTACCCACCTTCCTCCCTTTCCCTTTTTCACCTTTCTTCTCCATCCCTCCTTTTCCCCTCCTCCCTTACCCACCTTCCTCCCTTTCCCTTTTTCACTTCTCTCTTCTTTCTCCTCCACCCCTCCTTTCTCCCTCCTCCCTTACCCATCCCCACCCTCTTCTACCTTTCCCTTCCTTTCCTTCCATGCCCTGTTCCTTCTCCTTGTCCCATTGCTCTCCAAAATCTTGAATGAGTGTCCTCCAACAGAAAAGCTAAGATGTGGGAAATACATCAGAATGTTAATAATAGTTATCTTTTTATTAAATTGTCCCCTTCCTTGTGATCCTCTACTTTTTTCTATGATAAGCATCCCTCTTTTATAGTCAGGAGAAAAGGCTAGATTTTCATAGTATAACACACTTTAATATTTATTTATTTTAAGTTGCAATAAAAGAACATGAAAAACAGTATCAAATGAAGTGATCATTTTCAGTGAAAGGGAAGGTAGAACATAATACAAAGAAAACATGGTATCTTCAGTTTACAATTACACAATATAAGATGAAGAAACTTTTTAAAAAATACTATGTCATATGAACACCTCGGTGGTAAACAGTAACATCATTATCATTAAATTTATAGGCCACTATATGTCACATACACAAGGTCTCAGTTGAATCAAATGTGGTCTTGACATTCTTAAATGTATGCTAATCTTTTTCAAGCAGTCAAACTTCAAAATACACTGTTTTAGTTACTATAAGTACTGGATTTCTATAGCAAACTAATGAAGGCACAGCTAGTGCAAGCAGATTTAAACGCTTAGTCTTCTGGGCTGGAAAAAAGAAAAAAATAAAGCACTTGCATTGGTACTTCATGAACTTTTTTTTTTTCAAGCAAATATTTGTTTCAGTTAACATTTGTGACAGTTTCACAGCTACAGTCTAACAGAAACATGACCAAAGGACATCACAAAAATCAACACTGTAGCACCAAACTAACATGCTTTAGATAATTGACCACAGCTTACATATTTTGAAGAATATTATACTACAACAGTCTAGATAGAATAAACTGGCATAAACTGGCACTTAGACACTTTTTAGGACCATTTTTAAAATATAGACTACCAAGAAACCACAAAAACATGACTATAAGGAATAAGAGTGTTCAGGTTACAGGTCAGGGTTTTACTTTTTTCAAGGCTGTATGAATCTGCTTCACTTCTTGAGATTTTAAGATTCTTGAAAAATCTTTCAGATTGACTTATTTTCTGTATTTCCTGTTTCCATAATGTTTGCCAAATGGATAGTAGGTACCATTGACTTCTCCAGTATAGTAATAGATTGATTTCAGGATGACATTATCATGTAAAATCTGCCCAATCTCAAAGTCCTCATCCAGGATAGCATCTTCTCGTGGTTCCAGCTTCCCAATCATAGGAATCTCAGGAGGACTAAAGAAATTGAAGAATGATGCATTAGGAACCACTCTTGGCTGGATTTCAATTTCTCCAGTCGCAGTTGTGCGACTCTGGGTAGTTGTCACAGTAACATCTTTTCCTCTTCTCCAGTCTATCTTGCAGCCTTTGCAATCTTCAATTTCCCATCCCCAAGAAAAGAAGGGATCATTGTGATCTGGTTTTGACTTTATTATATATGTCTTCACCAGCACCTCATTTCTGAAGTATGGATTGGGTAGAAAATGAAATTCAAAGGTGTAACTTACAGGCTGGCCAGGTTTTGAGAACTTCAGGCTAACATCCGACAAGAACTTCAGAATGGGCTCATCATACTTCTGAATCATAGGCCCGAGCTTGTCAACATTCTTTAAAACAATCAGCCAATAGTCAGGAATGCCTTTAGGGTCTTCTCTTTTAGGCTTTCCCCTCCTAGCTCTTTTAAGATCTACACTGTCCTGAAGCCTTTCCTCAGGAACTCTTTTATGAGCCTCTCTTACTGCAGCCCTTGCCTTAGCCTCTGTTGCTTTAGGCTGTTCTTTATCATCTGCCTTTACCTGGGGGGCTTCTTTAGGATCTTCTTTTACTTCAGGGGTTGCCTCCATACAGTCTGCTTTAGAATCTGCTTTTTCTTCAGCCTTTATCTCAGGGATTTCTTTAGGAACTTCCTTTTCTTCATCTTTGACCTCAGGAATTTCTTTAGGAACTTCCTTCTCTTCAGCTTTCACCTCTGGGTTTTCTTTAGGGGTTTCTTCTTCCTCACCCTCTAAGGGAGGCATTTCACTAGGGGTGTTATCCTGCACCTCCTCATCACTGCTGAACTCCTCATCCTCTGAATTCCATTCACATTCTTCTTCTGTAGGCTCGTATTCTGCATTGATGATTTGAAACCGCCTATCATATAGAGGCTTGTTGAGTTCAGCATATTTTCTTTCAAGATCATGAATTGCTTTTAAGAACAGGGTGTCTACCTTGTCACATTCTTCTTGAATGTTTCTAAGCGCTTGCACACGATTTCTAACTGCTTGAGGCAGCCTATCCACGAAATTTGTTCCCAACGGGGCTCGCCGCGCCCTGCTGGAAGGCTCAGGTACCCTCTTCTTTCTATACAAGCGGCTGCGGCTGCTAGTGCTGCCGCTGCTGCTGCTGCTGCCGCTGCTGCTGCTGCTGCTGCCACTACTGCTGCTGCCGCTGCTGCTGCCACTAGTGCTGCTGCTAGAGCTACTGCTGTCAGATTCTTCCCCAGAATCACTAGTCGAGCTAGCCATCTCCTCTTCGGCAACCCCATGGGCGACGGGTTCCGAGACCATTTTAAAATCTGCTTCTGCCATCTTGCAAGCCTGAAAAACTCTACCGCGGAGACCGCGCGACCAGAGATGGGCAGAAAATGACTCACGGATGCTTGAGTGGCGGCGGCGGAGGCCCGGGCTGCGGAGGTGGCAGCGGCGATGGCAGCAGCGGCGCAGAGCGGAGCTGGAGCTGGGGATGCAGAGGCCGGCGCTGAGGTGGCAGCAGCAGTGGAGGCCTGGGCGACAGCGGTGGCGGCAAGGCCTCTCCCGGCTGCAGCTACACAGTTCCGAGATGTACCGCAGCCGAATGGCGCAGTATGAGACCCCGAGATCTCTTCTCGTTTTAGATCGCGAGCCCCCTCCCCTCGCAGTCAGACCTCCCGTTAATTTCGTTCCCAGTGTGCCTTTAGTTCGCTCCTCATTTGCTGGTCCACCTTAATTGACAAATCGTACGCCCAACGAACGGCCAAACGCCACTACTCCTGGCTCCGCCCACCTTCCCAGACGCTGCTCGCCGGCTGAGGTGCGACCCCCTGGAAGGTGTCCCCGAGCCCCCCAAAAAGTCTATATTTATAGTTTTATAATTAAAAGAGGAAAAAAAAGCGTAGACAGGAGGTAAAAATACCAGCCATAGTTCCTAACAAGGGCAGAAGAGGCGTGTCTTCTTTCTCCCATCCGCCCATCCTGAATTCCCGTTTAGTTTGTCACGGGTCTCTTGACAAAAATCTGTAAAAGAAAAAAAAAAAAAATTGAATGAAAATGGTCCAAATGGCGTCATTGGGTAGTGTGACTGTGGACGATTTAAAAACAAAACGATTTTCTCTAAATATTCTATGAGCAGTATTTTTACACTGGATAAAAAAGGGGAGAGTCGGTTATTGGCAGAGGGGGGAGGGACTAGACAGCAGGCGTATTGCATTCCACGAAGCTGATTTAATAAGTGCTGTCTGTGATGTTTGGCAAGCCTGGTTTATATCCATCTACAAGGTTTGCGAACCCATGTTGCCGTGAGTCAGTTACACCATTTTTATTATATTTCTCTTTTTAGGCTGGCATATTATATACCCCAACCTTGCTGCTAACTTGCCACGTAGCCCTTCTCAATGCTTGCAACAACCTTGTAGATAAAACAAAGAGTGTATTAAATGTTAGGTAGTATTGTTAAAAAGCAAATGATTTGCGTTATACTTTTGTGCAGCAGGTTTCAATTCCAAGAACAGTGGGATGGGAGGGGGAATTTGTGCTAATGAATGTGCATCTTCTGTCAGTGTATGCGATGTCATCTGCCACCAATTTCCTTCTAATGTTGTAAAATTCTAGCCATACTATAGTATAATTTACAAGTCCAGTAATATGTGAATAAACTTTTGCAAAATGAAGTTTAAAAACGGGTATTTGTTATTTTTATTTACAGGATTTTTTTTTTCTGCTACAGAACAACTACCTTGGTACAATAAAAAAGACGAGTATTTACTTTTCATTGAAAGGTAAGGATCATATTTAGCACATTTTAAAGAATGACAAAAATTACTCATCTCCATCTGAATAAAAGTTTACAGGATGCAGTCATTTAGAGATTTATTTTAGATAATAATCTTGATAATTCTATGGAAACAGGGAAATCCACAGAGGTAATTTGGCATACTAATGTAGACAATAGCCTACTTAACCACATTAACTATCTAAACCTGGTCATAGAATACAAGTTGTAAATTAAAATATGAAATATGATAAATTATTCATTTCAAATGAGGAACTGTATTAAAGTTAGATTAATCTTTATATAATTTGTGCTTTGTCATGTAGTCACGTTTTTTAAAAGTTATGAAACGCTTTTCTGTCTCATAAATGCATTTACTTTTATTGTATATCTCTAATTGTCAAAGTCTGTGAACATTGCAAAGATAAAACCTCAATACAGAAAATTCCAACAGTAGTAAAAACACACAATCTTAACCACCAAATGATAAGAATTACTAGCATTTTGATGCACTTCCTTCTAGAAATTTCCTTGTGCATATACATACCTGCCTATTTATGTATACTGCTTTATCTACGTGATACCATATTATGTTTTGTAGTCTTTTCATTTAATTTATCAGTTACTAATGGCTATATTTTCATGGCAAATGATCAACATCTTATTTTTAAATAAGTGCATATTCCATGGAAATAATTGCCTTAATTTATTTGAACAGATTCCTCTTATAGGGTGGCTATTTCTATACCATCTCTCCCCTTATATACATACTATTTTCCTGCTATAATAAAAGTGTCCCTGGATACCTAAAGCATATATTTCTATGCACTTCTGAAAATTGGTCATAAGATAAATTCCTAGAAATGAATGGCCTGGGAATGATCATTTCATATTATGGAATTATTATTGTATACATATTGCCAAACTCTCTGCAGAATGATTATCACAATTTACAGTTCCAACAGTGCATAAAGGTTCATTTTTTTTGTCATTCAGCTAATATATTTTTGTGCCTGTCATATGCTGGGCAAATGTGGTAGAGAATTGTAGTATAATGGTGAATGAAACTTACTAAGTGCATATCCATTCGTTGAATAATTTTAATCAAAGCATATGTTATAGAAACAATGATTTACATCAATGGTGTTATACCATAAATATTGTTCTGAGACTCACTATTTCTTTTTAAATTATGGAGATTTTACAAAAAGTATGCTCTTATGTTTTAAACTTTGTAGCATCAGGAATTAGTATTTTAGAGTGAGTCATGAGGTAGGGATCCAGATTTTTAAAATACTTATTTTTATTAGCTAGCTAATTCTTCTAGTACCATTTATTTGGTAATCTTTCTATCTCCTGCTTACTTGAAATGCTACTTTGATCACATTAAATAAATTGCTTGGGTCTGTTTCTAAATTCTTTTCTGATCCATTGGTCAACTTTTTCTGCAAACAACTAATGAGTCGGTGTTAAGATAACTTTACATTTTGTGAAGATGATATGTGTTCATTGATAAAGTCAGACAATACATTGAAATACAAAGAAGAAATTAAAAGTAACTCAAAATACCACTGAGAAGTAATCACTACTTACATTTACATTTGTAATCAACATCTCCAAATTAATTTATCAATATTAGTATTTGTATTTCTTAGATTAGTGGTAAGATTCTGTTTTCATATGTTTAAGTTTATTTGAGAACTGTCTATTCATATTTTTTGTTTTCTACTGAATTAAGCAAGAAGTTAATCAATGGTGAAATCCTAAAGGTAAAATGATTTTGGCCTTGACTTACTTAAGACAACTATGATTTCTTCAGGAAATAATGCATGATATTGGGCAAATGTGACTAAATTTCATATTAAAATTGGTTGGGTTTTTTTGGGGGGGATGCTTGGGGGGTTTTTTGGATGCTTTTCAAGGATTACGGATAACTACTTAACCACTCACACTGATCCTGGAAAAGTTTGGAATGGAACATGGAGATGAAAAATAGAAAAAAGCTTACAAAAACATCATATAAAAATAATGTATTAATCAACAATTGTGATTTTCAATTTGGAATTATTTTTTCCTGGATATAGGCAATGAAAATGTTGAAAGTAGATGACTTTTTCTAATCACAATTCTCTACTTTGTGTATCCATAAGTATCTTGTAATACACTTTTATTTTTGTAGCATTTTTTTGGTTGATTAGTTTATTTAATTTTATGTAGTAGGTATCTAAAATAAAATAAGCTTTTTCTTCATAATCAATTTAATTGCTGCATTATATCCTATTTGTTCTACTGTGAAATGTACATATTAGTTTTATCATATCATATGCTTATTTTTCTTAATAAGGTTATATATAAATTATTTGCATAGTGATATGTTCTTTGTTCAATTACTAGATGATTTTTTTGTGGGAGGGCGGCTAAATGTTAATGCTTCTACATGAGATGATACATAACACAGAATCTGATAGTATACTCAGACTGAACATAGTACATTAACATCTGTTGATACCTCCCTTAATATGAATATACACACAATCCCTTCCACCACCCACTCCTGCCACACAAACACACAAAGTGTATAATGACACGTGTAGCAGCATTATCTTTTTTTGTAGGTATCTAAGAAGCGAAGCATTGCAAGTTCATTTATTTTTGAATGACTCTTCCTCCTGTCCTTCTTGGACAAGTTTTATCTGAATATACAAGTTAATTCTTTTTTAAAAACCATTTTATTGATGTATAATAGGCACACAACAAATGTGTCTATCTGTGAAAGTATCACCACAGACAAAATAATGAAAATTATATCATCCCTGAAAGTTTCCTCATATGCCTTTGAATCCCTCCTCTTGTCCCTAGACAATAGCTAATCTGTTTTCTGTTCCTATAGATGAACTTGCATTTTCTAAAATTTTATATAAATGAAATAATGTAGTATGTTCCTCTTTTTGCCTGTCTTTGCAGAATTATTTTGAAATTTACCCATGTGGTTGTGTGTATCAGGAGTTTACTTTTCCTGTTTACTGCCGAGTAATTATTCATTACTTGGCAATACTATGATTTGTTGATGGGCATTTTTGTTGTTTTGAGTTCTGGGCTACTACAAATAAGCCTGCTATGATCATTTGTATATAAGTTTTGTATGGACATATGTTTTAATTTCTTTTAGCAAAATACATAGGAGTGGAATGACTAGATCACATGGTAGGTGTATGTTTCACTTTTTAAGAAATTACCTATTTTCCAAAGTGGTTGTTTTGCATTTCCACCAACAGTGCTAACATTTGATATGGGCAGTGTTTTAAAAGTTAGCCATTCTGATAAGTATTCAGTAGTATTTCATTGTGATCTTAATTTATATTTCTTTGAGAGTTCTTTATATACTCTGGATGCAAGTTCTTTGTCAGTTATAACTTCTGCAAATATTTTCTCTCAGACTGCATATTTTCTTTGAATTCTCTTAAGGGTGTCTTTTACTATTTTTAAAGAGGAAACGTTAGTAATTTTTATATTGATACATCATACATCATATTTTGGGGCACATGTGATTTTAATACATGAATACAATGTGTAATGGTCAAATCAAGGTAATTGGGATAAGAAGTTTGCAATTTTGATGCAGTACAATTTATCTTGTTTTTCTTCTATGGAGCATACTTTGGGTGTCATCTCTTAGAAATCTTTGCTTAACCCAAAGTCACAATTATTTTCTTCCTTTTTTTTTTAAGTTTTATACTTTTAGGTTTTGCATTTAGGTGTGATACATTTTTGCGAAAAGTACAAGGTATGGATTGAAGGTTTATTTCTTTTGATGTAGATATTTTCCAGCAATGTTTGTTGAATAGACTGTCTTTTCACCACTGACTTGCCTTTGCACATTTGTCAAAAATTAGCTGTCCTTGTATATGTGGGTCTGTGTTGGACTCTCTAATCTGTTCC